TGAACTAATGTGTTTGAGAAATCGTGGAAGGACATAGTGAGTAGGGAGAATTATTTTGTTTACTTCAGTGATTGGGAATCTTCTGATTTCCTTAATTAATGTTTTTAAAAATTATTTCATATGCGATTTCTGCACTCCTTACCATACAATTAGTTGGGATATTAATTCTGAAGATCATAGTGATGCCTGTTTTAATGTTATTTTTTCTCCTCTGGGCCAAATTTCAGATAAAGAGTTTTTTTCTTGTTGAATGTTTTCTTCCTTATCGCCATTTTGATATTTATACCCTTGTGTCATTGCACTAAGAATTGAGTAAGTATTGTGATTTAGAAAGGTCAGCTCTAGAAATGTTTCGCCTGGCTTCAGTGATTCTTATGGTCAGCTTTGTCATTGTGTCCCTGTACTTAGGAACTCCTATTATGCTCCACCTCAACTTACTATTTATGAAGCTCAGTAAGAACCTCAACTAAATCCAAAATGTTGTTAATCTTTAATGGCTTCCTCAGGTTCATGTGAAAGGGGCTGGCGGGAGGGTATTTTAATGTCTCTGGCAACACTGTTTCATTTGGCTCTTTTCCATTACCTGAATGTCATCTAATTCCTTATATTAATCTTGTAATACAAACTCTAAGTCTAGGTCCCAAGTCAATATTCCTTCCTACATTGTTCTCCCAATTAGGCCAAATATATGACAGTAAGTCAAGTGTCTGAGGGGTAAACAAATCTTACCACTTACTTAAATGTGTCTTGCTTTGAATTGTTCAGGCCTAGAGCCTTAGTGCAGCAGAAGGAGGCTACCAGGTGAGTTGTGTTATTATCATCTACCAGACTGACAGAGCATATGTGACCATAACCTCAATTACTGCAGATATCAATATATTTCTTTCTGTAGCAATAGCTCTTGACTTTTCTCCATGTAGCACAGAATAGAGATACAATAGTAGCAGTGGCACACTTGACAGTGATTCTTCCCTGGGATTTGGGAGCTTATCAGAATCTCCAGGGGTACTTATAATTTGAAAAAGTCCCCCAGGTGTGATTCTGATTTGCTTCCTTCTCCTCCTCCTCTGAGAATCACTGTTTCATCCAGAAGCCTCAGCATACATAGGAACATTTGTTGGTATATTGCCCTTGCATTGTTGAACTCCCTAAACCCCATGTCCCCATACTTCTATTTTGAGTGGTCCCCAGTTTCTTCTAATACCATAACTTCTGAAACCAATGTCTCCCTGTCACTAAAGGTATAACTACCATTGAAGCAGTCCTACTAGAGTTTGGATCCCTACAAAGCAAAGGTACTCCGTAGCTTATGGCCAGGTTTAATTGTGTGGTTTATTTAAAAGGGAGCTTTTTGCAAAGACTTAGACTAGAGTCCACGATTTATATTAACACCCCTCCCTGCCAATGTTAGTCCAATATTTTATGATGAAAAATTTCAAATCTATGCCACAGTTGAAAGAATTTCAGGGTGAACACTTCTATATCCACCACCTAGATTCCACAATTAACATTTTAATATACATATTTAATCATATATCTACTCAAAAGTTTATCCCTCTGTCCATCATTTCACCTGTTTAAAGCATTTCACAGTAAAGTTCAGATATAAGTACAGTTCCCCCTGAACACTTCGGCATGCAGATAATTAAGAGTTTAATATTTATTTACAGCTTTTTCTTTTGATGAAAATTTTCATGCAGTGCAGGTGCCCAAATCTAAGTGCTCATTAGCTGACTTTTGACAAATAATATATCTACTAGTGGCCCGGTGCTCGAAATTCATGCACGGAGGTGGGTGTCCCTCAGCCTGGCCTACACCCTCTCAATCTGGGACCTCTCGAGGGATGTCCTACTGCCGGTTTAGGTCCGATCCCTGGCAATCCAGGACTGCTCGCTCCTAACCACTTACGTGCCTGCCTGCCTGATTGCCCCTAACCACTCTCTATAATTGTGCTAGGAGGGCTCTGCCCTGTGAGCTGGGACTTGCACGTGGCAATGAGAGGACTGTGCCCTCTCATCAGCCCAAGGCTTGAACCTGACCAAAACACTGTAGCTGCGAGCACCCACGCCCTCCTCTCTTGGCCCCTAACCACCTCTACCTTGGCCCCGCCACCATGGATTCATCCAGAAGAACGTCTGGAAGGTCTCCTAGAAGGTCTCCCAGCCTAATTTGCATATTACCCTTTTATTAGTATTGATAGAAGCCTGGTGCACAGTTGGGAGCCATTTGGTGTGCGTGAAAGGTGTTCTGGATTAGGGTGGGGGTTCCTTTGGGAGGCAGAGCAGCCTGGGCAAGGGCCTGTGGTGGTTTGTAGGCTGGCCATGTCCCCATTGGAGTGGGGGTCCCCATTGTGGGGGGTGGCCAGCCTGGGTGAGGGGCTGAGGGCTGTTTTCAGGCTGGCCACACCCCCCAGCGAGAACCCTCACCCCATGGGGGAGTGGCCAGCCTGGGTAAGGAGCTGAGGGCCGTTTGCAGACCCCTCCCTTGGAGGCTGGCCCAGGCAACCCAATCCTCCCATGCTCAGGCTGGCTCTGTGGCAACTGCCCACAGGCCCCTCCTTCAGTGGCCGACCAGGGCAGTCAGGAAGCTTGGCTTCCTCTGTAACCAGGGGCGACCCAAGCCTCCCGCTGGCTCTGTGGCTGCCGCCATCTTGTCCCACTGATTTGTGTACTCACTCCTGATTGGCTGGTGGACATCGCAAAGTGATGGTCAATTTACATATTTCTCTTTTATTTGTGTAGATACTAGATGCTCCGTGCACAAAATTCATGCACCGGTAGGGTCCCTTTGAACAGCAATCAGGGCCTATCAGGTTCCCCACCTCCTCGCCTCCTCCTTCCGTCACTCCCTCAGCACCCCACCACCACCGCTGGTTGCCTGCCATATTCCGCTCCGCTCCTTGTTGATCAGTGCACATCATAGCAAGCAATCAAACTCCGTCTCCCAGTCAAACTCCCAAGGGGACAATTTGCATATTAGCCTTTTATTATATAGGATAGTCTAAATCCCTATCAAAAGATAGAAGATTTTAACACCCTCTTATTTTCTGCCCCGATTATTCCCTAATGACACTATATAATCTCTGAATTTAAGGTAAGGAAAAAGCTTGTCAGAGCTCTCAGAACAAATAGAGATCAATTTTTAATTATGGATTAGCAGATTTCTCTTCCCCATTGCCTAAAGTACCTTGTGTTTTAAATTGTGTATGAATGGCCATAGCCAGTTTGGCTCAGTGGATAGAGTGTCAGCCTGCAGATTGAAGGGTCCTGGGTTCAATTCCAGTTAAGGACACATGCCCAGGTTGTGAGCTCGATCCCCAGTAGGGGGTTGCAGGAGGCAGCCAATCATTGATTCTCTCTCGTCATTGATGTTTCTATCTCTCTCTCCCTCTCCCTTCGTCTCTAAAATCAATAAAAATATGTTAAAGAATAAAATGGCTAAAGCCATAATTTTTTTTAAAATGTATATGAATGGTTTAAAACAGTCTGAATGTTTTACTTTTCTACTTTTTAACTAATTATTTTACAAAACACAGTACTGAGGTACAAATACCTTATATCTATTTAGTTAAGTATTTTATAAGGCAAGAGCTCTAGTTCATTAACATGTGAGGAGGGATACATTGGAATATAAGTTGGGAAGAGAAAGGAAGTAGATGTGAGATGGCAAAAATCAAAAATACTAATGTAATATAGCATGTATTAATATGTGGTTAATTGATTAATATACATATTATGTATATCTAACATCATGAGATATCATAGTCTATCCCAACAGTGGCACACCATTTATTCAAGAATACCAGCATATCATAATATGCCTTTAAGAAATACACCTTAATTTCATCTCAGTATTCTTTTTGGATGTTTGTCCTTTTATAATGCCTTTATACCTGGTAAATATCTCTTGTTTGGCTCCATTTTAGAGTGATACAGCATATTTTAGTTTATACTATATTTAGTTAAAATGTGGTATAGATTTGAAATTATCTGCTTGCATTTTATTAGGATATACATGTAAGTGTATTTCTAATAAAATAAATTATGGTCCCAAAAGGAGAAGCTGTGACAAAAGTTAAATTGTGATATTTTCATAATAAAAAGATACAGCAAACATGCAGACATTTGCATATAGTTTCTGAAATATTGCATACTGGCTTTGTCGGTGCTGGTAAGTCCATTTCAAGGATGTTGCCCTTAGTCCATTAGTTTGGATAATGAGCCCTATAAAGTACATTTATAACTTGTGGCACTGCAAGGAGATGGATTCTAATTTTCATCCTTTTATCTAGACACATTGAAAGAAGGTCAATGGAGGGTTCTGTATGATTCATTGTCCCAACACATATCAGATGACAGAGACCTGATAATGTCCATGCATAATTGTTTTCCTTATTTGGAAACAGCACTTGAAAGAAATCTTTCTATGATCATCCTTTGAAGTAAAGTGGAAACAGATATTAAAAGAAGCTCCAGGCCTTTTTTTTTAACATATTATCACACATGTGACCAGAGAGCTATTCTTGAACAAAAGAGAAAGCAACATGTAACAGAAAAAATAGAAAGTCTTTAGTGGCTTTTACAGGCTGTGAATGATATAGCAAGATATTTAATAAACTTTTATCTTCCCCTTCCCTTAAGTCTGTTAAGAACAAAAAGAGCCTATTTTCTAAATTAAGGAAAAAGCTTCTATGTTCCTAAACATTAGAAAAACTCATACTGTATACTTGTCCTAACTTCGTCTTACTTACTAATGACATTCAATATAAATATTTGAGTTTTATCTCACATTTATTTTATAGTTTAAAAGACTCCAGATAGCAATAAAAGTATATATTCTATATATAATGTCTGTGTTTCTCTAAAAAAAGGGGAATTATAGGCAATTTTAAAATCTTCTAAGAAATTTGTATAAGATTCAAAAATTGGTAGTTGATTATGTTTATTTGCTCAATTATGTAATCAATGAGAACATTTTTGCTCTGCGTGTCTTCTTTGTAGATGCAAAGCAATCATAGATCAATTTGGTCAGAGAATAATCTCTAAGCATTTCCTTGTGGAGGACAGTTACTTTTCTGAGAACACATGCTCGCACGTGCAATACAGGTAAGGCACCAAATCACCCACTGTCCAAGGGAAGGTGAAACATAGAAAAGTTTAGCTTTGTGATTACATTGAAACTTTTGTATAATCATTGTTCAAGTAAGATGCAAATATATACCAAACAAAAGATAGCATTGAGTATGTTACCATTGTTCTCTTATAGGGTCTGGTTTGGGGGGAACTTAGCCTAATTTTGACTCCTTTGCATCAGCTGGGGTTTGTCTGCAGGTCACAGATCCTTCCTTTCATGAGCCAAGAAAAGATTAAAGCAGAACTTGACTCTGTTTGGGGAGGTGACACTTTTATCGTGACTTAAATCTTTGAAATATGCCTTCTGGTGGTTATATAACTGTAAATGAAACTTATCCATGAAATCTGAATCACTGAATAACTGTTTTGTGCATTATAGGCACATTTCCAGGGCAGTCCTAATTACAGATAGATCTGTACTACAAGCAGATTCAGATCAACAGGTAATTTTAGTCTTGTACTTTTTAATAACATGTTGCTAATTTAATCTACATGGTAATATGTATAAATTAATATTGGTGAAATAAAATATAGTAAGCTATATGTGCTAATTTAAGATATATATAATGGCAATTATGTAATAATCTTGGTTTCTTAAAGATTTCCTTCTAACAATAAATAATTGTGCCTTGTATAACAGATTTATGCTAGGAAAATTGGATTAAATCCTAGTGTTCCAACAACTATTTCTTTGGAACTGAAAATATATAGTTATGTGAAGAAAAAGATATCCCCAGAGAACACATTTTAGAACCTTGGAGGAAAAGACTTCATGATAACTAATGCTATGGTACCGGTGGTAAGCCCACCTATAGGCCTGGTGTGAATGAGTATCAACACACGTTTTCATTTCTGGTACTTCCTTATTGCCATTGTTTATTTCAGTACCCTCTTCAGCCTCCTCACCTCCAATTCTTTTGGAATGTCTCTATACCTGTGGTTTTCCCTCAGTCTGTTCACCTAAATTCCAGAGGTGTGCTCCCTTCTCCTGACCATATTTTATAGTGACTGATAAAATCAGCTTACTCAGCCCTAACCGGTTTGGCTCAGTGGATAGAGCATCGGCCTGTGGACTTAAAGGTCCCAGGTTCGATCCCGGTCAAGGGCATGTACCTTGGGTGTGGGCACATCCCCAGTAGGAGGTGTGCAGGAGGCAGCTGATCGATGTTTCTCTCTCATCAATGTTTCTAGCTCTCTATCTCTCTCCCTTTCTCTCTGTAAAAAATCAATAAAATATATATTTTTTTAAATCAGTTTACTCAGTAAGTATGACTGTCAGACCTATTCTATATATTCACTACTAAAAATAGGTTCCTACAGTTCCTTAAGTTGGAAGCTTTCTGTTATATGAAACAGATATCTTTGTTATTGCATGAACCTCAGTTCTTTCATTTAATCATTTAGCAAATAGTAGGTGCTTTTTATGTGCCATCCAGTGTGCTGGGTTCTGAGGAAACAGTGCTAATCATGATAGCACCTCTGCCCTCATAGCTTGCCCCTCTGCTACCACTGGTCACCGCCGCCCCTCCCCCCCAATCGCAGTTCCCTCCCTCTGCCCACTGGCACACACCTTGGCTGGCCTGGCACTACCTGCTCACCGGCCCTGTCCCCCACCAACCAGTCATTCCACCATTTGGTCAATTTGCATATTATGCTTTTATTATATAGGATTAGTGTATATTTCAGCTGATGATTTTGAGCCAGTG